GAGACAGAAAGTGGAATGGTGGGTGCCAGGGCTTGTTGGGGAGGGGAGAATGGGGACACTGTTTAATGGGGACGGGGTTTCCGTTTTCCAAGATGAGAAAGTTCTGGAGCTGGATAGTGGTGAGGATTGCATGACAATGTGAATGTAATAAATAGTAAATTTTATGCTTAAAAAAAAAAAGACAGTCATAAAAATAAATGCTTCAAATACATGCAGTGCAAAGCTTAATTTCTCTACTTTTTTGGTAAAATAAATCTAGTGGACATCGGTTCTTAGACCCCAGAAAAATCTGAAACCTTAATTTATTATCTAGCTTTTCATTAAGGGCTTTTTGGCACACTTAATATGTGTGGCCAAGAGGGTAGAGTAATGAACCAGATGCCTGCTGTATATGAATAATGAATTTGAATCTCATTGCTGTGTTAATTTTATTCCATGCCTCAGCCCCTTTCAGTCAGGGGTAAAAAAATCACTTCAATAACTTATTGGGGCTCTGCTTTGTGGGAGAAAGGAGTGGGGGATATCTTACAGAAATAGTCTGTACTATCACTTCACCTCTTTTACTCTGCTCATGCACGTATCTGAACATCACATAAGTCAAGAGAAACTCTATCCTTTCTTGATGGGATTTTTTCATCCTTTTTATTTTCCCATTTGATGACAAATACCTGAGTCATGCTTTAGTTTCTTGAAAATACTAATGATATAAAACTGCAGTAGTAATGATTAAGCTTAGTGTGTGGATTTCATATTTGAGAGATATTTGTTAATGCTTTTCTTCCCTCTGCAGCCTTTTGTACTGAAGAGAAGGACGTGTTCGCTTTGTTTTAAGGCAATGTGAATGCATTTAAAAACTCAAGTAAATTTACATGTGTTTGTGATTGGGTTTTTCTTTTCTAGGTAGGACACTATTGGAGGACTGGTGTTAATATTTTAAGAATGAGTGATGAACACAGGTGTTCCAATGCTTTGCTTTTGGATCTGTGTGATTACATGATATCCCAAGGTCTCTGAGCAGGTCCTTGATGAATATTCAGTGTTTTTCTTTGTGGTAGGGACTAGAATTCAGGCACATTTCTTCTCTGATGTTCATGCTCTTGTTGCTGTGTGCCTCTATATCCTTGACAAACAATTCTGTTCTAAATAACGTTTTGCCTTTTGACTTCAATTTTAATTTGTAGCCTGAATTACCCTCCAGGAAAGTTTGGGTTCCTCTAAGAAAATCCAGAGTTCATATTGAAGATTAATGGCATATACACTGAGTGGCCAGATTATTATGATTTCTAAACGCATAATAATCTGGCCATTCAGTGTATATCCTCCTATATAATAAAAGGCTAATATGCAAATTGTTTCCTCGACCAGGAGTTAAACCAGTAGGCAGGCCAGCCAGCCGCCCATGTCCCCTCTCCATGGCCAGACCGCAAACATGCATGAATACATGCACCGGGCCTCTAATGTTGAACACTTAGTTTATTAATATTAATTGCAGTGATCACCTTTGTGTATTTTAAGATTTTAGGGAATGTGTTGGTTGAATTATTTAAGATAGATTTTTAGTGTTGAGTAAAATACTTTATCAAAAGATTTGAACATCTTCATAACATAACTACTTAGTGTCGCATTACTATTCAAAAGAGAATCAGTATAGCATTTAAGGCAATGAGGATATGTGCCAATTTACCATAATTTTGGCATCAAGATATTTGTGATACCTTAGGAGATGTATAGAGCAGCGTTTTTCAACCGCTGTGTTGCCTGGTGTGCCGTAGGTGCAGACAAGACAAGAATTTTATAATTTTTCACTATTTTGTTTACTTAATATTTCATAATAAAGTAATTGTAAAATACTTTCTTTGTGTTTATTTGATTCCTATTCAAGAGAATTACTTTATATATAGTCAATATAGGCACAGAGTTAAATTTTTTAACATTTTCTAATGGTGGTGTGCCTCATGATTTTTTTCATGAAACAAGTGTGCCTTTGCCCAAAAAAGGTTGAAAAACACTGGTATAGAGTATCTGAGAAGGAAGATGGACAGTTTCCCAGTGTTCACTCATTGATGTATACTGGTACCAGAGGCCTGGTTCACAAAATTTGTGCAAAGGTAGAGAGGTCCCCTCAGCCCACCCTTTTCAATCCGGGACCCCTGGCTCCTAACTGCTTGCCAGCCGGCCTGGTCACCCTACGCGACCTGCTGTTCAGTCGTGTGGTGGTCCCTCACTAATCCTCTGCCATCCTGGTTGCTCCATGCAGCCTGCTGTTGGTTCGTTCATCTGTTTTTTTGTTTGTTTGTTTTTCGGTTGTGTTGGCCCATGGCTTTTTATATCTTAGGGTGTCTTACCTATTTATATGCTATTTTGACCTAACTTTTTTGATAATTTGTATTAAAACTTTTAAGTTATCTTCCCTTTCTTGATACTTGTCTATGACTGCTCTCTGATCCTTTGGTGTTTTTCTCCTGTGGTTGAAAAGATAAAAATGAAATTGAGCAATATTTAATAGAATTTCAGCTCAAAATATTGGCTTTGTGCCTAGGCAGTGTGCCTCAGGGATTGAGCACCGACCTATGAACCAGGGAGTCACAGTTCAATTCTCGGTCAGAGCACATGCTCGGTTGTGGGCTCCATCCCATGTGCGGGAGGCAGCTGATTAATGATTCTCATCATTGATGTTTCTATCTCCCTTCCTCTCTGAAATTAATTTAAAAAATAAAAAGAAAAAATATTGGCTTTAGTATGCAGGAAGGAGAACTTCAGAACATCCCCTAAGTCATTCTAAATGTAAGGTGACAAGGAACCACAGCCATACTGTGGTATTCCACAGTACACAGAGCTGAGGGATAACAGCTTCTGTGGCTTTATTGCCTACTAGAGGCCCGGTGCATGAAATGTGTGCACTGGGGGAGGAGGGTTCGTAAGCCTGGCCTGTTCCCTCTCACAGTCTGGGGGCCCTGTGATAGATCACCTCCAAGAGGTAGGTCCTGCCCACCCGCTGCAACACTGCCACAGGGTAGCCTTGGCCTCCCTCTTGGGGGCAATTGATTGCGGGGCTTTGTGTGGATCACCCCAAAGAGGTAGAACCTGCTCACCAGCTGGGGCTCTGTGGTGGATTGTCCTGCAGAGGGAAGCCCCACCCACCCACCGGTTGGTGGCCTGGCCTCCCTCTTTGGGGTGATTGTGGAATCCCGATTGATTGATCACCCTGCCAAGCTGGTGGCCTGGGCCTCCCTTTGCAGGGTGATAATGGGGCGATGGCCGGGCCCCTGACCAATTGCATTGCACCTGCCTTGGCTGGCCTGGCACCAGTGGATGGCAAAGCGTGGTTGTCTGGATGGTGGTTCCACGGTTCGGCCGTTTGGTCAGTTTGCCTATTACACCTTTACTATAGACTAGAGGCCTAGTGCACGAAATTCGTGCACAGGGACGGGGGTGTCCCTCAGCCCAACCTGCACCCTCTCCAATCTGGGAACCCTCAGGAGATGTCCAACTGCCTGTGTAGGTCTGATCCATCCCTCTCACAATCCAGAACTGCTGGCTCCCAACTGCTTGCCTGCCAGCCTGATTGATGCCTAACTGCTCTCCTGCCAGCCCAATCGTCCCCAACTGATCTCCCCTGACAACCTAGTCACCCCCAAATATCTTCCCCCACATATTCCCTTTCTATTATATAGATAGGGTTTTTTCTTTAACATATTGGACAGCCCTAACTGGTTTGGCTAGGTTGTTTGAGCATCTGCCTGCAGACTCAAGGGTCACAGGTTCGATTCCGGTCAAGGGCAAAAACCTTGGTTGGGGCCACATCCCCAGTGGGGAGTGTGCAGGAAGCAGCTGATTGATGTTTCTCTCTCATAGATGTTTCTAGCTCTCTATCCCTTTCCCTTCCTCTCTATGAAAAAAATCAATATATATATATATATATATATATATATATATATATATATATATTATTATTATTATTATTATTTTTTTTTTTTTTTAAAGAAACATTTAAGATTCCTCCATATCTGCCTGGCTGGTGTGACTCAGTGGTTGAGACCCCAGGCTGCATCTCCTGGGAGGGGATGGGGCCATGAGGAGTGAATTTGTTTTTGTTTTTTATAAAGGGTCAGGAGAGACTCTGGCCAGCATTCTGCCAGGCTGCTTACTCTGCAGGCTCTCAGCGGCAGCCCTCCCTGAGATTGGGGGACTCCGACAGGGCTGAGAGGACTGGGCACCGTCATCTTGTGGCTATGGGCGACACCATTTTTGTGGCGGAGTGATGATTAATTTGCATATTACTCTATTATATAGGATACTTTAGAAACTCCATCCTATCCCTTCTGAGCCTAGTAAATATATAATTCATTTAAAAATATTTAAATGAAAACTTTCCATATTCTTTCCACCATCCTTTTAAAAAAAATTTTACTGATACTAAGCACATATTAGATTTGTATAGTCCAAAGAAAATAGTTACTACCTAATAACATTGGGTAATTAGTTATTCATTGATATTTTATTGTTTTTTTTTTATTTTTAACAGATATATATGTATTTTTGAACAAATTATGGTTTTCTGGAAACAGACTTTAGCAAACACTGTGAAGTTAAGCAGAAATAAGTAATTTAAATTTCCTCTTATTTGATTCAGTACTGAACTTAAATATTCTTGTTGACCTTTAGTTGAAGATTCTTATTATTTACTATGTAATCGTTTTTGCTAAGCTTTTGTTCTGTTGAATTGTTTAGGTCAGCCATTGCCAACCTGTGGTTCATGGACCACCAGTGGTCCCTGAGGCACTTATTACTATTAATCTGGTAAATGTTATGCACATCCACTGCTCCCAAAGCAAAAGCTAATTAATTGTTTTCGTTTTTTGTTGTCATACAAATTTTGTTTTTCAAGTTCATCAGAAATTTTATGTATTTTATTTAAATGAAATGGTGCTATGTGTCAGACGAGGTGGTGTTGGTTAAATGTTGTTGTAGTATATTTTTGTTTTCTTTTCCTTACTCAGACTGAGTCTGTTTCTCAGCCACTGGAAAACCATGGTGCCTCTGGTCATCCTTCAGAGTCATTATCTACCAAATCATATGGAGCATTGAGACCTGTCAATGGAGTTATTAACACGTAAGTTCTCTCTTCCACTTCTCACACTCAGTATGCTTGTAAAAGAGCTCTTAGTTATTCCTAGCCAGGACTAACCCTGGTTTAAAGACAGAAACCTCGTCACATAATAATATTGTGCACGTCTTCTTCTGTAGCAAGTTTAATTAGCATGCTAATGTATTTCCTTTTTACTTACGCCTAAAATTGACTCATCGTGTAGAAAAGTGAAAGGTCCTACAATTATTGTGATTGGTCGTAGCATTGGTAGAATTCCTCAGAAGCATTTACATAAAATCCTCTATTCTAGAACAAATTAAATTCCTAAAGCTGGTAGACATCAGCATCCGGAGATGAACTCCTGCTTCAGAATACTTATGTGTGTCTGTGGACATTTACAAGAGAAGGTTGAACCAGTATTAAAGGCTTTGTTTCCTTGAGTCTTCTGAAAACTGAATATTATTTCTTCCTCTTGTGTAGTCTGCAGCCTGTCTTGGCAGATCACATTCCAGGTGACAACTCTGATGCTGAGGAACAATTACATAAAAAACAACGACTGAATCTAGTTTCTTCATCAACTGATGGCACCTGTGTGGCAGCCCGAACACGTCCTGTGCTAAGCTGCAAGAAACGGAGGCTTGTTCGACCCAACAGCATTGTTCCTCTTTCCAAGAAGGTCAGTACCAGTGAGGTTTGATCATTATTAAACCATGAGCCAGATGCTCAGATAGAAATATTAGCCTTTTGCCAACTTTGCTTCATTTAACTAGTGTTTTCCAAACTTGGCCAACCACCAAGGTTTCCTGGGAAGTTTTAAAAAATACTAGGCTCCTTAACCCTGTTTCCCAGAGATTCTGATTCACTTGCTATTGAGTGGGACCTGGAAATCTTATGGGTTTTTGCGTTTTTTTTTAATACTATATATTTTATTGATTTTTCACAGAGAGGAAGGAAGAGAGATAGAGAGCTAGAAACATCGATGAGAGAGATACATCGACCAGCTGCCTCCTGTACACACCCCACCAGGGATGTGCCCGCAACCAATGTACATGTCCTAGACCGGAATCGAACCTGAGACCTTTCAGTCCGCAGGCCAACGCTCTACCACTGAGCCAAACTGGTTTCAGCGAAATCTTGTTTTTAAAAAAGGAAAAACTCCTATGTGACTCTTCAGCCAGGTTTGGAAACCATTGGCTTGAGATTTTTAATTGAAATGGGAGAGAGGAAGTTGAAATGCTGCCATCAGCATTTTGAAAAACATTGGTGTGTCTTCTCATTTGTACTGGTATCACTAAAATGGCAATGTGGAATCTTTTAAATACGAGTTTCCATTAAAATTTCTAAATTGGTTGCTAAATGAATTGGTTCCCTGTCTTCACAGGGAAAATGGAAATTGATTCACAACTATAGGAAGTTTGATTGCTGACTCTTCAAATAGCAAAGTTGGATTTATTCCAAAACTAATGAAATAATTAATACTCCAGTAAAATTAATGTCATATAATGGTTAAGAGTATTAACTTGTGTTAAAATCATGGCATTGCCACTAGCTTTATGATTTGGGGCAAGTTAATATTTCCTCCAACACCCCTACTCCCATTCTCTGAGATCTCATAGGCTTGTTTGAGGGTTAAATGAAATGCATGTAACTTGCTTATTGGGATGTCTGGCTCATAAGTTACTAGTACAGAGTGGCTGTTGCTAATATTACTTGTTTTTGTTTGTTCATTGTCTCATCCAAAAATATTTATTGAGCTCCTACAATGAGCTATATCTGTTCTGGGAATACACTAAACAAAAACACAAAAATCCTTAATCTCATGAAAAAAATAATAAACGAAGTTTACATTATGTCCTATAATGTTAGGTGCTGGGGGGGGGGGGGGGGAGAGGATGCTGCAGAGGAAAGGAATGAGGAACATCTGGTTGCTCAGATGGAATTAAGCCTTGAGCATTCCAAGGCTTGTAGATAAGAAAGATAAGAGAGATAAGAGAGTGGGAGGAAAGAGTGGAGTGACTGGTGCCATAGAAGGAAAACTAAGTGTGGTATGTGGAAGGCAAGTGAAGAAAGTGTTTCAGAGAGGAAGGAAAGATCATCCTTAGATGCTGCAGATAGGTCAAACTAGAAAAAAATTGAGATTTGACCATTGGATATGATGGGAGCCAGGCTTGTTGGAGAACTTTATGAGCAGTTTTGTTAGAGGGAGAACAGTGAATTCTGAGAGATTGGGGGCGGGGAAGGAATTGAAGAAACTTGTAGATAATACTGTCAGAAAATGTTTTCTGTCAAGGTAGGCAAAGAAATAGCCTGTTTTAAGCGGAGCCTTTCTTAAGAGAGAACTGTTACAATATTTTTGCTGATGAGAAAAACTAATGACCAAGGAGAGGATAGAGAATTGTTGGAACCATTAATATTTGGACAGTGGATTTTCAGTACTTGGCTTATTTTGTTATAGTATGCATTTAAACTATATAATGTTACCATGTTTTTTGTTTTTTTTTTAAAGAAAAGTATTATAAGTGAAAATTAACTGTCAGGCTGTACCATTTCTCTTGTTTATTCTTCAGACTGCCTGAACTATCAAAATATCAGAAAAGAATAAGATATTTTGCAGGTTTCTCATTAATATTTGAAGGTACAATACATTTTTTAAAAAATAGTTAAGGCAAGGAGAAGAAGCACAGAACATACTAAAGACCCTTTGATTCCAATACCAATTTCTAAAACAATCGTCCTGTCCTGGCCAGTTGGCTCAGTTGATTGGAGCATTGTCCTGTTTGTCCCATACACCAAAAGCTTGTGAATCTGATTCCCGGTGAGGGCACATAAGTGGTTTGAAGGTTCATCTGAATCTGCAACTGATTAATGTTTCTCACATTGATGTTTCTCTCTTCCTTTTTCCCTTCCTACCCCTCCCTTCCTCCTTAAAAACAATAAACATATCCTTATGTGGTAAATAAATAAATAAGTAAGTAAATAAGTAAAATAAATAAAACAATCAACCTGACATATGCCAAAGTAAGCTGCATGGAAAATAAAACAAATAAATAAATTGAGTTTGGAAAATAAACCAACCATTTGCGGGTTATAGCAGAAATACTGGAGTTCTGCCAAAGTCGGAAACAAAGGCCATTCTCTCTATCTTGGTTGTTTACCAGTATCAGTGATCTTTGCTATTGAGTAAGCATCTTGCCTTCTGTCATCTTTAGGTGTTATATTTGGGTTATTTCCCTATATCATGATTTCATGGTAATATAAAGACTGATCATTATAAATTGTCTATATTACTACTTATATTCATCACTTTAAGGGTCTAATATTTATTTGATATTAGTGAATTAGCTAAGCCAGTAAAGAAATATTCAAGTGGGAAGGTTTTATAATATATGTCATGTTTATTTTGTGCCCTGCTGGTTCTGTAAGGTAGATATTTATGACTTAATCTAAAACGTTAGTTTCTAGATAGTGAGATTTTATTTTTTTTAATACATTTCATTGATTTTTTTACAGAGAGGAAGAGAGAGGGATAGAGAGTTAGAAACATCGATGAGAGAGAAACATTGATCAGCTGCCTCTTGCACACCCCTTACCTGGGGATGTGCCTGTAACCAAGGTACATGCTCTTGACCGGAATCGAACCCGGGCCCTTTCAGGCCGCAGGCCAACGTTCTATCCACTGAACCAAACTGGTTTTGACGATAGTGAGATTTTTAAAAAATTAAGTCTGGGACCAGTGTCAGGTTGCTTTTTATTTTGTCAAGTGAATGCGTATATATAAGTTGGGTAAATCATATTACAGATGATATTTTTAAAAGAAAAAATAATATGCCTTGAAATTCTAATCAAATGGTTTGGCAATGTTCTGGCATGTTTTTAAAATTTCATAGTCTATTGGAAGAGTATAATTATATAGGAAGATTGCTTTGGGATAAATTTTCAAGTTAGCTTCTGTAGAATTCCCAATGGGTGTCCACTTTTTCCTCTTACATCACACTTGTGGACACATAGGACATTCTCTTAAGGCCTAGTGCCATGATATTTGTGGTTGAGGACTAAAGAACCAAAATAATTACGAATTTGTATTAAAAGTGAATAATTTTATATCAAGTGGGATGTGTTCTTTATTGATAGGGGATTCCTGTGATAGACTTTGGAGGCCCAACTTTGCAGTATTAATCTTTTGGGAAGGAGAAAGAGTGCCTTGTGGAAAATTATAGTTTCTTAGGAATTAAAGCTACCGAGAACACTCAGAAATCACCCAGTGCTTAGAGCACCAACCTTTAAACTTTTATGAGTGTTTATATATGCACTATACAATTTGAAAAATTGAGATTAAATAAATTAGAGTAGAAGCGCTAATGAACTGTCCTCAAGACAAAGGAATTTGTAATGCTTTGAACTAATATTTTGTGATTTATAGAGAATGATGAATATAGCCTTACATTTTTGTATATTTTCAAATTTTTTACATACAGAATTTTATAGAAAACATTCTTAATTGTTGAATCCCTATATCAGTGGTTATATCCATTTCTTAGTCTTACTTATATTTAGTCTTCTTTCTTGAATAACCTTTTCAGCAATTTTTCTATTTTATTACTCATTTCAAAGATCAGTTCTTTGCTGTTAATACCTCCTTCCTGTGGTTTTCTCACTCCCCCTATCTTTTTTTGCCTTTATTCAGATGGCTTAGTTAATTTTTCTGTTCTTTTATTATAATAATAAAATCATTTAACTTATAAAATTTTCTTCTAAGGGTAGTTTTGGATGGCATTCCACAGCCTTTGATATGGGAAGTGTTCCTTTTGCTATTTGTAGATTGAGTTTTTTAGTTAATTTTCTTAAGAGTTAAGAAGTGAGTTTCCAAATTCTAAATGGTTAGTTTTTTTCTTTTGAAATATTTTGTTATTAATTACTAATTTTTATAGCATTTTGATCAACTTCTTCTTGGCCTTTGGCTAAGATCAAGTGTATAGTATAACATTTTGGTTGGTAAAAATGTTTTATGAATTTCTGTTAATATTTATAGCCCATTATGTGTTTTTTTTAAAATTTTCATTGTTGTCTAGTATAAAATTCTATATAATCATGCCCTCATAGTTACAGTTTCTTTTTTCAGTAGTTGTTTTTGCCTTACATTCAATTTTTCTTTATATATTAATGTTATACAGTATATGAATTTTTCTCATTCATTTACTTTTAGGATTTTGTATTCTGTGTGTTTTTTGAAACATCATAGAAGCAGATTTAGGTGTTTCTTTTAAATCTCTTAAAAATCTTTTTTATTAAATATAAATAGAGACTAGTTTTAATTTTATATTCACTTTTGAAACTAGATTTAAAGGCTTATTTTTACTGTAACACTTTATTACTTAATGGCAGTCTTTCTTTATATCTTCATGTGCCATTTATTGAGTTCCTAATTTGGATTTTTTATTTTTCAGTGATTAGAGCAACAATTTCATCATGTTTCAAATTCTCAGACCATAACCTTTGTCCCAAAAAACCATGTTCCGCTGTCTTTTGGTGGGAGAAGAGAACAATTGTTTATTCTGTTTTGGCATAGAATTAGACTTATTTGTAAACTAGTTTGTAAGAAAAAGTGCTAAGTCCAACCCCAACATTTTAAGGCATTTTCTTTTTTCTTTTTAAAATACCATTTGTAGCCGAAACCGG